CGGGCTGGGTGCGGAGCCCCAGGACCGTGCGGGGTGCGGAGCCCCCGGGCTGGGTGCGGAGCCCCGGGACCGTGCGGGGTGCGGAGCTCCTGGGCTGGGTGCGGAGCCCTGGGACCGTGCGGAGTGCGGAGCACCCGGGCTGGGTGCGGAGCCCCGGGACCGTGCGGGGTGCGGGGCCCCTGGGCTGGGTGCGGAGCCCTGGGACCGTGCGGGGTGTGGGGCCCCCGGGCTGGGTGCTGGGTGTTGTGCAGAGCCCCTGGCCGGGCTGGGTGCGGAGCCCTGGGAGCCGCTGCAGGGTGCACAGCCCCGGCCAGGCTGGGTGCGGAGCTCCGGGGTTTGGGCTGGGTGCGGAGCCCCATGCAGCGTGCGGAGCCCTGGGCCGGGCTGGGTGCGGAGCTCTGGGTTCTGGGCCCGGTGCGGAATCCCATGCAGGGTGCGGAGCCCCAGGTGGTGCGGGGTGCGTAACCCTGTGTGGGGTGCTGAGCTCCGGGTTCTGGACCGGGTGCGGAGCCCTGGGCCGGGCTGGGTGCGGAACCCCGGGTCGTGTGGGGTGTGGAGCTCCGGGTGTGGAGCTCCGGCTTCTGGGCCGGGTGCGGAGCGCAGGGCCGCCGCGACGCAGCCCAGAGCTGCCGCCCCCCGGGACCGTCATCAGCCCTTGGCCTATTTAAGCGCTCGGCGCTGGGGCTGGCGCGGCGGAGGGGGAGGACGGGGACACCGCGCCTCCCCCCCGCCCCACCGGGCCGCCCGCTGTCCCCGCCGCTGCGGTGGCCGCTGGCCGATGCTCCCTGCGCGCGGGGCCCCTCCGGCCGCGTCCCTGCGCCGGCCTTTGGGGGGGAGGTAGGGGGGACACAACAGGGACACCCCTCGCCGCCGAGTGGGGCCGGGTCTCGCTTTGTGTCCGGGGCACGTGTGCCGGGGGGGCTCCGGTGTCCCCGGGCACCCGCACAGGAGCGACTCCGCCACAGGGGGCAGGGGGTCCCGGGGATCTCGCTGCTCGAGGGGGGTCTCCCCATTGTCTTCGGCCCTGCGACCTCCCGGCGGCGCCGCCTTTGTCTGCGGCCGCTTTCGCCGGCCCCGGGGGCCCTGCGGCCCCTTCCCGCGCGGGTCGCGCTGCCCCAGACCGGCCCTTGCGCAAGGTCCCGCCGGGCGCTGCCCCGGGGTCCCCGGCGGCTGGCGGGGTGCCCGGCACCGCAGGCGGCACCACAGCAGGGACTGGGACCGGGACTGGGACCGGGACCGGGCTGCACCGGCTCCCTCCATCCCCACCGCTGTCGTGCGAGTTTCGGGATCCCGCGGCAGCACCCGTGGGATCGGGGCCTGAGGTGGTGCCAGGCAGGGAGCCAGGACGCCTGGGCCCCCCGGGGGCGGCCCCGTCAGGAAGCGGTGCCGGAGCCGCGGCCGGGGGCTCCGCCGCGCGCCCGGGGCCGCTGTGCAGCATCTGCTCCGCAGCTGCGCTCCGCTTTGCCCGGCGCCGCGCAGGGAGCCGGACGCCGGGGCCCTCGCTGCGCTCCGCGAGGCTCAGGGGGAGGGGCTGAGTGCCCGGATGCCTGGGCCCCCCTTCCTTGGTGTCCTGACGCCCTGCAGCTTCGGCACCGACCTGGCTGTTCCGTCGCCCCGACGCTGGCCGGGACTCCGGGCCCGACGCCACGGCGAGGGGCTCCCCACGGCTGCCCGCTCCGCACCCGCCTCCTTGGCCGCCGTTGGGGATGCCCCCGGCCCCCCCGGTGCCTCCCGGCGCAGCCGTCTGGGCGCGCGGCGAGCACAGCTCCGCGCAAGGAAGTTCTTAAATTATATAAAAGAGGCGATAAATTATGGAGGGCGCTCGCTCCGTCACTTTAATGGCCGCGCTGCCTCGAGTGGGAGCGGTGATTTATGGAGCACGGGAGCCGCGAGCGCCGCGGGGGCAGCCCTGGCCCTGCCGCGCGGGGCCCACGAGTCCCGCAGCGCCCGTGCGCCCCACGAAGACATGGGACACGGCGGCACCAGGGCTGTGTCCCCCCCGTGCCACGGCGCCCGTGGCTGCGTGTCAAGCGGGGCTCCCTCCCTCTGTGCCGGGGGTCCCGGGAGCTGCAGCCCGGGGGGCACCCGGCAGGACGCGGCCCGTGGGTGCCCGTTGCGTTGCCCTGGCCGCTCTGGTGTGCAGCGGGTGCCCAAGGCAGCCGCCTCTGTTGGCGCCAGCCCCTCGGACGTCGTGGGGGCGCCCCCGGCACGCGCCCGGGGACAAGCGCAGCCTTTGTGGGCGCCTCGCTCGGCGCTGTCCCCCCTGCGCTGGCGCCGGCGGCAGCGCCCTGACCTCCAGCCGCGCTGCCCGCGGGGCCCGGGCGTTCGGGCGCCCGGCCCCTGCCCGGCTCGAGGTGCGAGGCCCCTTTGCTCCTGGGGCCCAGGCGTCCCGCCTGCCCCCGCACCCTCCAGCTGTTAACTCCCTCCACCCCGCGCCAAGCGAGGGCCCAGGCGTCCGGGCCATGGCCCCCCCCCCCCGCCTCCTCCTTGGCTGCAGCCTTAATCCGTCACGAGGGAGGCCGGAGCGCCGGGCTCGGCGCCGGGCGCCTGCCCCTCGCACGAGGCCTCTTCCTGCACCGAGCGGCGCCCCGGCCTCAGCCCGGCGCGGGGGCCGCCGGGGGGTGCGGGGGGGCCGGCGCGGCGCGGGGGCTGCCGCGGGAGCCCCGCGCTCCCGGGGCCAGG